TCCCCCCTGTCCTCGTCCGTGCCTATCTCTTTCATTGTTCTGTATCCCACCCGGTTACTTTCTTTTGTCACTGTATAAAGAGATCGTAGTGGATGCACAAGCAACCACTATTTTCCAATCTTCCATTAACGGCGACAGCAGCACAGATAGTAGTTTTCAGTAAACTGTGGGAAACAGGAATAGCGTTAAATACATTTTTATTTGCACCCAAATTGTAGCGAAAAACGCTTCTTCTGATTGTCCTTTCCAGCTGAGCAAGTTTCTATTTGGTAGCGCCATAACACCTACCTGAAAAAAAAAAAAAGTCTGGAAAAAACCTTAAAAAGTAGATGCTGTAACAGAAATACCATCTAAGTATCATCAAAAAAAAAAAAAACAATAGAAACATAGTTCCAGAAAGTTTCCCGAGAGATTTATTTTCTTCTTCTATTTGAAACTGAACTTTTCTCATTTTTTATTTTTGAAAAAAGAAATTGATTACTGTATGATGTATTGACTTGACAAGAAATGTTGATACGGAAAGAAATATTATGAGAAAAAAAAAATTTTTTTTCTGAAAAAGAAGTCGAACACTGGTTTAGTTTGATAGATTTTAGACTTTTACTGCCCATTTCATTGCATCTCTGTTAGACACGCAAAACATCAACAACACATTGAACCAAAACAAACGTTATTCAAAAAACCTGTTTATACAAAACTGTCATTTTCCCATTAGTCTCTTCTCTGATGATCTATAAGCTTTATGATGCTGACGATGATGATGATGATGATGGTGACTATACAGTAAATATGCAGCTAGCTACCTAACTTGGCAACTAATCGTGGTTGACAGTTTGCTGTCTGTTACTAAATGGATTTGAACATTTACAGTTATTTGTTCAATTCATATACAACGAACCAGTAATGTGTTTACCTATGCAGGCATTTGTGCATATTTTAAGCATATAATTTGCATTTATGATATACCGTTAATAAAATTAAATGTTCTATACATAAACCATTAAGGCAAGACCACATATGCACTAAAAGAGAGTGGAAAAAAAAAAA